AAAAAAAAAAAAAAAAAAAAATACTACAAGAACAGTTAAACTTGAGCCTCCTGAAGTAAGAGTCAATGACTTTATGCTACAGCCCAACTATTAAGCTTCAAGAGTTCTGTAACTAAAAGGCAACAGTTCTCACAGAACTCAGCTGTTAATATAAAAACACTAAACATTTAATTTAATTAGTGCTATAGTTTTAAAATAAATGCAGAAGCATTTTCGCTCTGGCATGTGATCACAGATGCACCATTCTCCCCTCCCCCCCTCAAGAACTAGTGAAAACATATGTGTACACACATAGGCGCACACGCTTACTTTTTTGTTCATATGCCAGTATAAGTGCATAAAGTAGGATCACTAGACTTCTAAGAATTACAAATCTAGCTGTACCCCCTTATGTCTTATGAAGACAAAGCATTAGGTCAAAGTTAGAGAGCTTATATTATTTTGGTTTCACAAATATTTGGTCAGGATGATTTGAACAGGGATGACCCTGCCTCGAGCACGGGGTGGATAAGATTAGCTACCGGTGTCCTCTGTATACATTTTTCTACAACAGTGGTCACAAACCAGTGCACCTGAATCCACTGGTGGACCTCGGAGCCTATCTGAGGCTGGGGTGGGGGGCTGAGTGCCCGCGTGCATGCATGCGCGTGCCCCAGCTCAGCAGGTCAGTCCATGGGGAAGGGAAAAGAATGGGTGGGGGCTATATCGAGGCCACTGCAGCAAGGGACAGTGCCACAAAGGCAGGAGCAGGGGTAAGTTGAGCGGGCCCCTGGCCATGTAGGACTTACCTGCCCACAAAATAATTTCTTCTCCCTCTGCCACAATCTTCCCCCCCCCACAGACTTACTTGCTGGGTGGTGGGGGGCAGCAGCACACAGCAGATTTTGGGTTGCTTTTAAAATGCCAAAGGTGATCTACTTATAAAGGTTGGAGACGACTGTTCTACAATATGCGTATTGTGATGTGCGATAATTTAAGACGAGCAGTTGTAGGGAGTAACCAGAAGATATTAAGCAATAAATATCAAACTCTTTGATTAAAGGGCACAGAGGAACAAACTCCAATTATTATGCAATTTATCTAGAATAGTTAGGTATACAAAAAAATGGAGACCTAAGGTGGCAGAACTTTGATTGGTATACAGCCCTACCAACCAGTTGGACAATACTTATACAGTTTATAATGCCAATAAAAGTTTAGTTAAATTAAACTGATTTACATATATTTAGATGCATAATCTGGGGGTCTTATTAGGACTCTGAAATGAGACTGTCAGATAGCTGTAGCACATGTGGCCCAAGGTAGGTCTTTCATAATACAACTCAAACTAAAATACTCAAAGGCATCATCATAAGCATTCTGATTATGAAATAAATTTGAGCAGAGATGCAACTAATATATTGAACAGGGATACTTTTGGGAGTAAGACAAACAGAAATATATAGAAAGCAGTCATTTGGGGGTTTTTTTAGTCTAGTTACATCAGTGGTCTCTGCAGGCTAGTTTCAATACTAACAAAAAGGCAAAGTAGTAAAGGTATCTAGACAAAAGTCCCCAGCATAAGTTTATAAATAGTTCAGATACAAACCTAAAACACCAATCTCTAGGCCTTCCAATGCAGCTTTAATTGTAGTGTAAATATCTTCTCTCTCTCCAAAGTCTGCAACAATAATTTTTGTTTCCACCTTGAACTTCTCTTCTGAAAATAATAAAGACAAAAAAGAAGAATTAAAATAAGTAGAACACAGTTAAGTCAAAACAACTGGTCTATTTCCGATTTAAAGATCTGAAGGTACTCAAATTTTGATGGCTGAAGAGAAACTATTGCAATGTAAGTCAACATCACAAGTATACATAACATCACCTTAACTTGTGCCGAGCTAGTGTACCTGCTGTTCTGGTTTAAATCCACACTTAAGTATTACAAATAAAATTCTACCCTAGTTAAACTAGAAAAGATGCACTGTACTACTAATTTTTTTATCCTCACCAGGAAAGCCTCAAATGATTCATTACCTTTTGTACATGAGGGCCCAGGTGGATGACAGGTACACACTACACAGGTTCTTAAGTGATCAGGGCTGTCCAACTTCTAATTGGCTCAGGGCTGCAAACCACATAAGGGGCTGTGCTATCAGGGACCACGAGCACAGGTTGGCACTCCCTCACCCCACTGCATTGGATGTGCAAGCAGGGCGCAGGGGCACTCTTCCATGCCATTGCACTGTGTGCATGTGGGCGAGGGTGGGCACCTCTGCCCCTGCGCAGTGCACCACCTCACCTGCAGCAAGCTCCCCTGTGGCACTATGCTGCACAGCTCTCTGGGCTGCATTATGCAGTGGAAGTGGGGAATCCAGAGCAACTGGGGCAGTATCAGCTGGGTGGGAGCCCAGGGGCCACTTGTTAACCTCTCAAAGGCTGCATGTGGCCTGTGGGCCACCACGTGGACAACCTTGTTATAGATCATGCAAAACGGAAAAGTTAAAAGCAAATTTCACATTCCTCCAACACAAGAGTGGGCAATTATTTTGGCTGGAGGGCCAATTAACAACTTTTGGTGAGCTGCTGAGGGCCGCAAGGGCAGCCCTGCCCCGATTGCCATCTTAGGACCGGAAGTCCCACCCCCAAACTCTGACCTTTGCCCCCAAAATGGCTGTTGCATGTCCGCACCCCCCCTCCCTGCAAAGTACTCATTTTGCGACCGGGGGGTTGCCATCTCGGAACCAGAAAAAAAACCAAGTCGTATACTAAAAATCAAACGACTATAACATGTTTTAATTTTATTTCAACACATATTCTGGTCCTGATTTACATGCGTTTGCATAGTGTACAAGGTGACTGCAAAATAGCTCAAAATAGAGACACAGAGAAGGCAGAGAATTTGGGCGGGGTGGGGGAGGAAGAGTTGTGAAGGGGTGGCAGGGGCGTGTGGACCACCCCACCACATCTCCCTTCCCCCCACCCCCATGGCACTCAGCCCCCACTGCTGGTGGCAGCATCAGCAGGTGGCACCAGGCTGTCAGGGTACTCCTGACCCACAGCAAGCAGAGCCCCCAGGGCAGCATGTGGCTCCAGCTGAATCTCAGGAGCTGCACGTGGAGGCATGGAGCCTGCCTGACCTAGCCCATCCCAGCAGCCCATAGCTTCAAGCCAGACAGGGCTGGCTCCATGTTAGCACATGGGGCTCCCAGCACTACAGGCAGGAGCTACACACCATCAGGCTGAACTAACCCCTTGCCTCCACATGGGGCTACCAGAACTCCAGCAGGGAGCTGCATGTGGAGGCATAGAGACTGCCCAGCTGGATGGTACATGGACTGGGAGCCATGGGGTCATGTGGCATCGGGCTAGGTGGGCTCCATGCTGCCATGTGTGGATCCCCACTGGAGTGCTGGAAGCCGCACATAGAGGCATGGAGCTGGCCAGCTCTAGCCTTATGGAGCAAAACTCCCACCTGCAGTGCCAGGAGCCCCACGTGCTGGCACAGAGCCAGTCTGGTCTGAGTCGGAAGTGAAGTCGAAGGTGCACACCAGCAGGCCAGCTCTGTGCTGCCACGTGCAGCTCCCAGGATTCAGCAGAAACCGTGTGGCACCGGTGGACTCTGCCTGCTGCAGGCCAGGAGCACCCCAAGGGCCCAATGCCTGCTGCTGTTACTGCTGCCAGCAACCAAGGCTGTGCACAGTGGTTGGGGGGGGAGGGGGGCCTACACCTACCCACAAAACCCACTCCTGCAGGCAGGAGCTCCCCTCCCCACTCACTAGCTGTCCAGTCTCATGCCATTGCACTTGGTGCCTCCACATGAGGCTCCCAGATGGATTGTTACGAGCCCCACAGAGAGGGAACACATAGCCCGTCTAGTTCAATGGCGCACAACCTCAAAGCCTGCCTCCCACTGGACTTTCAGAGGGGCAGCCGTGGGTCAGAAATAATTGTTTTTTTAAGCAGCCCTGTGGGCTGAATAGAATGGCATAGCGGGTCAGATTCAGCCTGCCAGATGTATTTTACCCGCCCTTCCTCTAAAGTGTTGATAGAGTTCAAGTGCAACATCTCAGCAACACAGTCCTCAGCATGTTTCTGTATATATAATCAGCTCACTAATATTAGCAAAGGGGAATTGGTGCAGGTCTTGCTCCAGTGTACAAAGACTCCTCTGGTCCTATATTGGCTATCTTCTCGGTTCTTCAGTGACCAAGGAACCCAAGAAGCACAGAAGAAAGAGTGGCCGAGCAAGAGATGGGGGAAGGAAGGGAGGAAAAAACGCTTATAGATTAATTTCCAAATCACCCAGTACAGAGTCACTTCCATTCTTGGCAAAGTAGTAATACAGATATTACACATTCAGGTATTCCAGATATTTTATTCAAGCATAAAATTTTTATTTGTACAAGGAATAATAGTTTCCATCAAGTTAAATGTATTCTGCTTCAATTAAAATTGGCTCAGTGCTTCTTTCTTAGGCATCAGCAAAAACATAAAAGGCAAAAATAAAATAAAAAATAAAATAGATATTTTTAATAAGGTCATACAAAACATTACCTCAGTGTTTCTTAAGGAATTTGTATATGTTGTAAGAATGGCTATGGAATTTTTAAAAGATCATTCATAAAAAAGGTGTCAATTTTAAAGAGGAAAAAAATCATTCACAAAAAATTAAAAGCACCCCCATTCCCATGATGCTCTCTTCCATTCAATAAAAGTAGCAGCTCCCATGATTCTGTTGCCCATTCATCCAGAATCATGAATCTACTGCACTTACTGGCTTGCTTGCTGCTTTCCCCCCCCTTAACATCCCTAATGGCAGATGCAACTATTTTTCCCCCTCTTCATCTTTCATGAACAGCTGCATTGTTTAAAAATCCCCAAGGAGATGTTGCTATGTCAAATGACGACGTAAATACCATTAAGCCCTTACTGCAGCAGCAGTCCTGTGATCGCGTCAGAAGAAAATCAAGTTCAACATCTTTTACTGTGGTGGGGAGAGGGAGGTGGAAAGATTCTATTTTTGAACACATCTGTTCTAATGTTAACACATACATGCACACACATGAAATCTTATAGGACACTGAGGTAGAAGGGGCAATATAGCAAATACATACAATTAGTTTGGGCAAGTGAAGCAGCAAAATAGGACACTGCCGCACGTGTCATTTGTGCAGTTTTACAATACATGTGACAATTTTCATTACCATCAAAAAGGTGCTCTATGCAAAAACACATTGTTTAAACAAGGCAGATGCCCTTAGTAACACTTGCTCGCTTAATATTCCACTGAAAGTATTTATCATGGGGTTTTCTTTATCAGTACTTACCTTTTTTCCCCACACTTATAAAAGCATAAAAAGATACTGAAAGATAAAGAGGTAAGTAAGAAATAAAGACCTAATACTGAATGGAGATAAAAATACAGTACACATCATTGATGGTAGTTTTACCATGCAACTGGTCTTCAAGGCTTTGGAAAATTATCAAGTCCTTAAATACATGAATATAAAATAATTAAACCATGCAGGTGTAACTAATGTACATCATCTCTTATAAACGTAAAGCAAAGTAAAAGAGGAGCCCAAAAGAACATTATAGTGAAGAGAGGAAAATAGTAAATTGGTACCTGCAGCAAAAATGATATTATGGGGGGTCATGTTTAACAAGTGTACTCAGGATCCCTCCAGTCAACATTGCTGAACTGATACCAAGGCATTCTTCTACTGCTTCACTCTCCTCTTCCTCAAATGATTTTTCAGGTCTAGTTTTTTGTTTCATTCCCTAAGCTAGTGCTTGGCAACGATTTTACAAGCAGCAGGCTGAAACAGCCCAGGCCAGCACTTTCAATGTGGCTGCTACCGCAGCTATTGGCTGGCTGTGGTGCCAAAGCACGCTGCTGCTGCTGCTGAAACGGAGCTGAAGCCCCCCAGCTCCACAGACCAGTTTTAGCCCACAGGTTGCCAATCCCCATATTAAGCTGTCCCTCTGGCCAAATGATAAATACAAAATTATTTGATCTTTGATTATATCAAAAGTGAATCAAGGAAATCGGCTACTGATTCCAGTCGCCACAAAACATTAATGCACAAAGCTTGCTATTCATTTTGGTAGGGTTGGCTTTCAGAAGCAACTGGCAAGTACACTCATAGAAAGCAAGAATACACTCAGGTATTAACACTAGTTAAGGTGCTCATGTTTTAGGAGAGAGGTATATGAATATTTGGGGCCAAGTTACTACACCTACCCTAAAAGAAGACAACAGTGTCACTACAAGGATCAAAGAACAGATGGATAATACATAGGGAACTACCAAATACACAATTTCATGGGAATTGTGTAATTGGCAGTTTCCCATGAAATAGTCATTTTCCCGTGAAAAAGTGTGGGGAACTGGCTATGTTCCAAAAGCCGGCAAAAAGCTATTTCCGAGAAGGGGAGAGGTGGAGGGGAAGGAAACAAAGAAAAAGAAAAAAGGCAGACTGCCCAAAACTGGGGGAAGCAGGGAAAGGAAAGAGAGAGGGACAGGAAAAGATCCCATCTCTCTGTCTCCAGAAAAGGGGGGGGAAGGAGAAACAGGGAACAGAGAAACCCACCTCCCAAACTGTTTAATTAATTAATTGCCCTCTGCCCCTTGAAGAGGGTGATAATTACTGAATTAACAAGTTAGGCAGCGCCAGGTACGGCAGGGGTGGGCAATTATATGGGCGCAAGGGCCAC